CCTATTCATCAAGCTGTCTGTTTCAAGTCTCCCTGACTTTTATAGCCTGGTGTTGCCAGTAACAAATTTCAGTCTCCTCCTTATCAGACTCATTCTGTCTCGTCATTTCAATGCCAAATCATGTGCTCTTTAGAGATGCCTCTCAGAAAGCTTCCCTGATGTCGCACTCAGTGCGGCCTCTCCCCGCTTCCATTATCACTTTGGACATTTTTCTACAGGGGTGCTTAGGCACAGGGGTGTGTGATTGCCCTTGGTGTGTCTGTTCCCTCCAGTATCCATGAAGAAAAGGAAACATAAATTATTACAATATCTCCTGATTAAGACATAAAAGGCATTTAGTAGATAATGAGAATTTTTCTTGTTTTGTTTTTCATGAGCAAAACTATAGGATAAAAATTTGTTGGATATACTGCAGATTAATGGTTAATACATCTTGAAGGACAGAGGAAGGAAAGATTTGAAACATGGGATTCTGGACCAGGAGAAAAATAAATGGCAGGGACTGAGAGCTGGGTTTCTGGGAAGAAAACAAAACCAAGTCAAAGCAGCTCCACATCTGAACCACTGATGTAAAGGGATCCCCAATCACACAACACACGCCAGTGTTGAGGCAATGGACTATAAAGTGAGGTTGATAGTCAGGGCACAAGGTTGAAAGTAAAGGATAGACTCCGAGCCTGGAGTCAATTTTGTGGCATCATCAGCTTTAGGACTGGGGTTATGGAGCTATTATAGCTGTCTACCTGATTTTGGATAGAAAAGGTATCATGAAACATCTTAAATGCTGGGCTGTAGAGGGGTTCTGAGTCTTGCGGTACTTGCGGTACCAAGACAATCACTGAAAAATTATGAGTTGTGGATGACAAGACAAGCTTTGAAACAATCTGGATGGCACTATACAGCACTAAATGCAGCAGAGATTGAATATTAGGAGAATATTTAAGGATTCTGTTACGGTAATAATGTTTAAACTAATGGGGTGACAGTGAGACTGTGAGGAAGAAAAATGCAGCATCCACGGGAAAAAATTGTGAGCAGTCTTGCAACTTGATAAGAGAAAAGAAAGATATATTTATAAACAGACACTTTAATGAAATGGAATGGTTAAATCTTGATTACAAAGAACAACAACAACAAAAAAAATGTCACCATATCAGGTACTTTGTTTCTTAGAGAAATATAGATCCTAAATTTTAGAGTATCTATATTATTTTATAGAAAATAAATCTCCTACGTAACAGAGAGGCTTTCATTTGAACGAAGAGTATCGGCAGGTACCCTGGAGGTATCACAAGATACCTGCCGTCAGTGGCAAGGAACCGCTGGTGCTGAGAAGCATAGCCAGTTCCAATAAGATAGATTCTTGCTGAGCCTGTCTGGTACTATAGCCCTTAATCTATACACTTCTTGGCCCATTCTTCCTTGAAAACTTATCTTTCTTGAAAAAAAAAAAAAATACATTCCAATCAGACAATATCCTTTGGAAAACCAAGTCAAGAAACTTGCACTTAAAAGCATTAATAGGGTCTGAGGATATTTTCTGACAATAATTTCTCTGAAAATTCTTCCTTCTGAAATAAAATTTTAAAGATTTGAAACCTATCCATAATACCAGCTTCCTAAACTCATAAATTGAAGACAGAAATGTGATAAGTACTATTTTCTGAATTTTGATGGTGGAATTGAAAGCAAGTTAATAGGATTGTGACTACGTAAAATATTTTGACTCGGTTTTATAAAAAACTGAATAGAAGAACCTCTAGAAGGTTTTATTAACATTGAAAAATACACAGTTGTCACACAAAGTATAACACTTTTCATGAGAATTAAAATGGAAGGAAAACTCATACAAGAGTGGAATAATTATTTTGGTCATTCACTTTTCATGAGAATTAAAATGGAAGGAAAACTCATACAAGAGTGGAATAATTATTTTGGTCATTTCTCTACTGGATACAAAATCCTTGAGGACAGGGGCATGTCTTATTTGTCTGTTTCTTCAGGCTTGATGCAATGCTTGGCATATAATAATCAAAAATATTTTTTGAATAAATGATACTTAAAAATATTACACTTACATAGCACCTACTATGTACCAGGCAGTTACCAAAGTACCTTACAAATATGAACTCATTTAATTACCATTAGGAAAACCTTACTTTACAAAGGAAATTAAGACAAGGAGGTTAGATTGCTTGCCCAAATCAAACAGCTCCTTAGGAAGTATGCCAGAAATGAAGCTTGAGCTGAGTCATGCCAGAATCTGTGCTCTTAACCAATATAAATATAATGTTTTTAAAATGTTGAATTTAAATTTAAATACATATGTATATAAACATACCCTTTTTAGGGTATTGAACTTAGAAATATATATATATATATATATATATATATATATATATATATATATATGTTCAGATATATATTAAATTTACTTGATTTGTTGTTTTGAGCAGGTTTACTAACCTAGGGGGTTCTTAATTTCCTCAAACATAAACTCAAAATAATAGCACCTAACAAGGGTATTATGTTTAAAATAATGTTTGTGAGAATACTACATAATCAGCAGCCAGGACGTATTAGGAGGTGTGCCAAGGAGAATAGTGTTATTTTCCTCCTTCTCCCCTTTCAAAGGGTTCATGTTTGTTCATTACACATCATGTATGACTTAGCAAAATTAGATCAAAACCTGTGTTTCATAAAGCATTGTTTCCAAAGCCTCTTAAAGCTAGCGTTCATTTACTAAAGCATTTTTTGGATGGTCAGATAAGCTTCAAACTCAATAGCTTGTTTTCTTAAAAAAAAAAAATGCTTTTTTTTTTTTTTTGGTAGCTGATATGGTTCAAGCATCTACCATTAAGGTGGGAAAAAAATCTCTATATACTAACTGGGAGATTAAGTTACTTAAAAAACACATAAAAATTAGACCAACAAATAGAAATATGACATTTTTTTTCTACCAAAAAAAAACACCAAATAATGAATCTACCAAATCTGATGGAAACCATCTCAATCAGTGGTTTCCATAATGATAACGTACATCATGTTAAAAAAAAAAAAACTCAATTTCAAACCCTTTCCCTTAGATCTTCTAATTTCATTTATTTGGGTAGGGTCTGGGCAGTCATATTTTTTGAAAGTACTCCCACTGATTCCAATTTGCAGCCCAATTTGGGAACACCGGTTTAGGTTGTCATTGAAAATATCACCAGTCTCTGATTGCTTTTTAATTTTTACACTAACAAAATACCAATAAAAGACAATACCTTCATTCATCTCAATACTGAGAGTCTATGGAGTTCACCAAGAGTGTCACAGCACTACTAAGCTAACATTTAGCACCATTTTTCAAAACTGACTGAAGCAAATGCTATCATAACCATCCATCTTCACTCTTTATTTGGTGTTCCAAAAACACAAGAAAGTGGGAAATAGAAGCTGTGTTTGTATTAGCTAATTCTCTTCAATTCTGAGCATTATGAATCATGACAACTCTAAGATTATTGAAGTATTGTAGGTAAGTCATAGGAGGATTTCATGTTTACTATACTAGGTGTGTTGGTATGGTCAGTAAATAATCCTGGAGCATTTTACCATATGACTGAATATTATTCTTGTGGCTATAGTAACTAAAATTAACTGTAGGTTAGAGGTACTGAACCAAAACAAATCCCGGTTATCCGGTGTTTTGAGTTATGTTAAAAAATTGAGTAAAAATAAGTGCCCACTGAGATTACTGACTTAAACTGCAAAATGTTTTGCAAATCTAATCACCTTAGTTCCTCTCATAATGCTAGTGTAGAAAACCAGGAATAACTTTTTAAAACTTAATTATTATTTAACTGAATACATACTAGGCTAGCAACATGCTATAATAAACTTTACTTTATAAATCACACAACACTAACTACATTTCTACTTTTTCTTTAATAGTAAGATAAAATAGTTCTATTGTGTAAAATATTTGCTTTCTAACTCTTATTTAAGGCATATTCAAATGTGGACACTCCTATTTAAAGATTAGTTTTGGGAACTACATGTTCTCACTTAGGTTTATTTTGAACATTTCATTTTTTTTAACATTTAATTTTTTAATCACACAATAATTTCAACAAATAGCCTTGAATAGACAGATGATTTGGTTCAGGTTAAATACAGTCATCACATGGAAAGGGTCTCCTGATGAGACCAGATTGGCATCTGAAACCCTACCTTCCAGTCTTGCATGTATCTTTCACTAGTAGGGTAAAACTTAACTTTTCTTAAGCAGATTTGCAAAATAAAGCCTGAAAAATAGACTAAAAATCTAACTGGACTGTCAATTTTTGACTTCAATTGAATTTCCTTGCACCTCAAGGAAAATGGATGTTTGAGGAAGAATTAATTTGTCAGAGCCTTTTTCTTGATGTCTTTCACCCAGGCTTGGAAAGAGCATTATGAAAAAAGCGTACAAAAGCGTACCCCTTTGGAAACTATGCACACAACATATTTTTCCTAATAGGTGTGAAGAATGGCTGCTATGCATAAATGATTGTTGGAAAATAATTCTCTGTAAAACATGACTTAACAAGCAACTCTATTCACCACTGTATTCATTTCCAATATCCAGAATAACCAAGACACATCACATAGATGCCGATAGTATGTTTGCTAGTTAATAAACACCTTTTGAGAAACACAACTTTCAGCCCCGTAATTCAATAGCCAATAAGTTGAAGAATCAAACTTCAAAAAAAAAAAATTGTTATTAGCAACACAGGAAAAGTCACAAGAAATCAGGATTCTTAACTAGGAAACTGCACCTTCTCAAGATCTTTTCTTTAATCAAGGTAAAGTGAAGCAACTGAGACTAAGCTGACCCTACATCAGAACCTCCAATATTACTATTTAAACTGCAATTTTGCAATCAACAAACAAGATATTTGGCACACCTCCACTGTTAACCATCCCAGGGAAATTCCCAAAGCTTCAAGTCCCACTCATTCCCAGATGCTTCTTACCTGGAATACTCTCGCTGGGCACTGGCACAGCTCAGAGGCAAAGGGCAATCGCAGGTGGTGGTTCTAGAGACTCAAGCTGCAGCTCCCACCTCCTGGACAGATGTCAGCCGCAGGATGAGGTGCAGACGGCGCGCACCTCTCCAATCCAGGAAGGTCCGCCAGCCGCGGCGTAGCCCACCCAGCGTCTGGGGGGGCTGGCTTTCCTAGTTAGACACGAGAACAAATCGCATTAGTCCCGAGCCCTCCTTCTCCTGCCCACCTCCCGATGTCCTGACACTTTATGTCAGCCTCCAATGATGGTTTAAACCTAATTTGTACGATAGGCTAAGAGGCAACTGCTCTTCCCCCAAGCTCTATTTCCACCTCCCCAAAGTCCAGGAGGCTCACCTTCCCCGCGCCTTCTTCCCTCGCCCAGCAGTGAGCTGTGCGCAAACTTCTC